GTGGTGGATTTTACTTTAAAGTCTATTTGTCAGAGATTAATATTGCCACTCCTGCTCTTTTTTGAGTGTTGTTTGCTTGATATATTTTTTTTCCATCCTTTGAGTTTTAGCCTGTTTGTGTCTTTAAGTCTAAGGTGCGTCTCTTGTAGGCAGCATATAGATGGATCATGTTTTTTTTATCCAATCTGCCACTCTCCATCTCCTTATTGGTGCATTAAGTCTGTTTACATTCAGTGTAATTATTGCTAGGTATGAGTTTAGTGCTGTCATCCTGATAGCTCTTTTTGTGTGTTGTTTACAGTTTCTTCGTTCTCCTCAATTTTCTGTGCTGAGTCGTTTTTCTTTATGTATTTTTTTCATCCTTTTCTTTGTTGTAGATTTTGTGTTTGCTGGGTCTTTATATTTTTCTACTTTTTTATTGTGATTTGTAGGATTGTTAGATTCTTTTGTGGTTACCTTAGTATTTACCCCTATTTTTCTAAGTTTATACCAGTCTTTTATTACTTTATATTGCCTTAACTTCCCCTCCATATAGAAAATAAATGTCTCTATTTTTTACGTTCCTCTTTCTTTGTTTTAATATTATCCTTTTTCACATATTGATACCTGTTTCCCTATTTTCAATGTTTTAGTTTTGACGTATTTTCAATTTCCGTACCTGAGTCAATATCTGGTTGCTCTGTCCTGTGTTCTAGTCTTGCATTGTTAGCTGGTGTTATTGATTATCTAACTGTAGGACTCCCTTTAGTATTTGTTGTAATTTTGGTTTGGTTTTTGCAAATTCCCTGAACTTCTGTTTATCTGGAAATGCTCTAATTTTGCCATCATATTTGAGAGACAGTTTTGCTGGATATATAACTCTTGGCTGACAGTTATTTTCCTTCAAGGCTTTAAAAATGTCATCCCATTGCCTCCTAGCCTGCATGGTTTCTGCTGAGTAGTCCTAACTTATTCTAATTGACTCTCCTTTCTAGATGACTTTTCTTTTATCCCTAGCTGCTCTTAAAATTCTCTTTATCTTTGGTTTTGGTAAGTTTGATTATAATATGTCTTGGTGACTTTCTTTTTGGATCTACCTTATGTGGGGTTCGATGAGCTTCTTGGATAGATATCTTTTCATCTTTCATGATATCAGGGAAGTTTTCT